AGAATCACTTGAGCCTGGGAGGTGGAGGTTGTGGTGAGCTGAGATCACACCAGTGTACTCCATCCTGGGTGACAGTGAGAAATATACCCAATTCATGGAAAGAGTCCTGGATTATAAATAAAAAATTTGTTTTCTAATCCAGATCTTTCCATAACTTTGGGCAAATACCTCACCTTTCTGAGCCCCAGTTTTATTTTCCAGAGAGTGAGGAGCTGAGGCTAAATGATTTCAAGGATATTTTCCACCATTCTAAATTCTATGATTCTACTCTAAACATTTATATTACATTTATTCTCAAATTATGGAACATTCCTCATCAAGTGAAAACAAAATATTTCATCAAATTGTCACATTTCCAGAAAGGCCCATATTTTCACCTTTTTAATGTAATAGAGATCAGGCGACAGGAGTGAGTGACACCTGACTTTGCACTGGAGGAAGACAGAGAAGAAGGAGTCCTGGAGTGATGGTTGCTGTGGCGGAAGGCAGCCTTTGTGGAGTCCATGTGTTGGCTTCTCGCTCTTGCATCACCAGCCTGTGATCACAGGTGCTAATTAAATTAATAAAAAGGCATTTTGTTAAGACATGTGCCCCACACCTGCTGTGTCACCAGGCACAGCTTTCTCGCCTGTTGTGATAGAACAGTTTTTACCAATCACCAATGAAGGCAAAAAGACAATAACAGCAAGAAGGAAGAGTCAACCTATAGCCAACCTGACCTGATTCTCCCCTGACGAATGCCTATTAATTTGTCATGACACATTAGGAAAGCACACATTTTGAATTTGACATTCCCAGTTACGTAGGGCGTGACAACTTTAATAGTCATTATACTTCCCAGAAATAACATGCTGTCCTCACCCAATTAAGGATGAGGATGATAAACTGAGAAATTATAGCATGTAGAAACAAAACTTAAGACGCAAATAAGGAGCACACCCACCTCTCTATAATGATGCTTTTACTGAATGGTCTGGAGGTCACTTATTTGGAATTATTTTGAATGGCTCTGGTAACGTCTCTTTGACTTGAATGCAGATGCCATGTGTTTTTGTTTGAGGAAGATATATAAAAAAATATTTTTAGCTTACGCTACATTTTATGTTAAAAATGGATATAGCCCAACATATTAGGATTATATTTAGTTGTGAGAGATTTCAAATCCAAAATAAGAATTTATTTTCCTCCCATTTAGAAATCCTGGCAAAATGTCCAAGTCTAACATGGTGCTCCATGGTGTTGGGGACCAAGCAGTTCCCACCCCTTTTCTCTGCTGTGCATGACTGCTATTCTCAAGCTCATCTTATGGTTCAAGATGAAGTTGCACACAATTTCCACTTACTTTATTTTTTATTTTTTTGAGACAGAGTTTCACTCTTGTCACCCAGGCTGGAATGCAATAGCACGATCTCAGCTCACTGCAATCTTCACCTCCCAGGTTTGAGTGATTCTCCTGCCTCAGCATCCTGAGTAACTGGGATTACAGGCTTCTGCCACCACACCCAGCTAATTTTTGTATTTTTAGTAGAGACAGGGTTCACTATGTTGGCCAGGCTGGTCTCGAACTCCTGACCTCAGGTTATCCGCCTGCCTCAGCTTCCCAAAGTGCTGGGATTACAGGCATGAGCCACGGCGCCTGGCCCGTAATTTCCACTTACATTTTATTGGTAATCTTTAGACACAAGACAGGGCTTCACGGAGGCTGGAAAAGTAAGTCCTGTCTTCTAGGCAGCCATGCACCTTGCTTAAAGTTGTGTGTTCTATTATTATAGAACAAGAATTGGCAATCGTTTTCCTGTAAAAAAGGCCAGTTAGTAAATATTTCAGGCTTTGTGAGGCACATGGCCTCTGTCTCAACTATTTAACCCTGCGATGGCAGCCATATTTAACCATACGACAGCAGCCATAGACACTACACAGATGGATGCTCGTGGCTGTGTGTCTGTATGAGTGCTTTTTCACGCGGCTGATAAAGACAGACCCAAGACTGGGTAATTTATAAAGAAAAAGAGGTTGAATGGACTCACAATTCCACATGGTTGGGGGGGCCGCACAATCATGGTGGAATGTGAAAGGCACATCTTACATGATGGCAGATGAGAGAATGAGAGCCAAGTGAAAGGGGTTTCCCCTTATAAAACCATCAGATCTCATGAGACTTACCCACTACCATGAGAACAGTGTGGGGGAAAAAGCCCCTATGATTCAATTATCTCCCACCGGGTCCCTCCCACAACACATGGGAATTATGGGAGCTACAATTCAAGAGGAGATGTGGGTGGGGACAAAGCCAAACCATATCAGTGTCAATAAAACTTTATTTACAAAAGCAGGTGGTGGGCTGGATTTGGCACACAGGCTGACCTCTGTTATAGAAAATGGGTAATAATAGAAAACAGAAAATAGAGATCTCTAGTAGCCTCTGCTATGCCAGGTAGTAGAAATATTAGTACTATTAACTCTGGTAAGTCCTTCTCTCCCCTCTTCCCCTTTAGTACAGTTGGTGGCAAGCAAGATTGCCAACAATTTATAAAAATCAGCGAGAGGGCAGAGGAGGACAAATTCATTTAAGGCTCTCTTTGAAAGACTAGTTAGCGAATTTCAATTATCCCTTTTGTTTATCATTCTGACTCTTACTCTGCTTAGGCAAAAACTTCTGTCATATTTCTGACCTTAGTAAGATAATGGCTATTTTCTGGACAACCACTGGGAAGTGCAAATTTCCATGGAGTAAGCAAGCTGACTGAAGGAAATGCAGAGGAGACGCTGAGAAAATTCCCTGAGGGAATAATTATGGTTTTCCCCTCTTTTTGGCAGAGTGGGATAGGGCTGTGATCTTTAAGATCTTGTCTTTCTTCTTAGTGGACAGGGGAGAAGAGGTGCAGGATTGAGATAACCTACCTTGTTTTAACCTGAGTGACTCTCTCTTAGCAGAGAGAGCCGGATACGCTCCATTTTAGTTTCTTCACTTGCAGTCCCCTTTATCCCCCTTAAGGGAATAACTAGTGCACGCTGACTCCACGCACATCCAGGAATGCACCTGCTGATAAGATACTGAGGCAGGCTGTACCAGCAGCTCCTGGGAATGGGCTCGGTGGAAGGTACCTAAAGCCCCTGCATTTATGTCTTACTGATACTTTAATCCCCTGCACCTGGAACTGTTTATTTTTTGTAACTGCTTCTATAACCAATTTTTTTTTTTTAACTTTTTGCCTATTCTTCTTCTGTAAAATTGCTTCAGTTAAACCCCCCTCTCCTATTTAGACCATAGTATAAAACAGAATCTAGCACCTTCTTCGGGGCCGATAGAATTTTGAGCGCTAGCTGCCTCTCGGTCGCCGGCTAATAAAGGACTCCATAATTTGTCTCAAAGTGTGGCATTTCTCTATAACTCGCTTGGTTACAACAGGATTACACTAGAGAGCTCCCCCTTAAGCAAAATAAACCCGAAAGAAGTTTGATAAACATTCACTGTGGAAATTTTACCTTTCATCAATTTTATTGAACTTATTTTAATGAATCCAATGATAACATGTGACTTAAGTCACATAGAGATACACAGGCCGGTCACAGTAGTTTGCCCCTATAATCCCAGCACTTTGGGAGGCTGAGGTGGGTAGATCACCTGAGGTCAGGAGTTTGAGACCAGCCTGGCCAACATGGTGAAAACGGTCTCTACTAAAAATACAAAAATTATCTGGGCGTGGTGGCATGCACCTGTAGTCCCAGCTACTCGGGAGGCTGAGGCAGGAAAATCACTTGAACCCGGGAGGCGGAGGTTGCCGTGAGCCAAGATCATAGCACTGCACTCCAGCCTGGGTGACAGAACAAGACTCCATCTCAAAAAAATAATTATAAACACACACACACACACACACACACACACACACACGCAGAATTAAGAGTCTTCCATGATCCATCTTCCCAGTCTCTCCCAGAATGTCCTAACAATCAAACTCTGTGCCAGGAAAAAGGGATTGTTAATAGTAACTTCTGTTGCTTCCAGAACTCTTAAAGTGGGATAAGCTGCTCTGCAAACTCCCTTCCTGGTTCCTTTTTCTTTTTTTTTTTTTGGAGACTGAGTCTCGCTCTGTCGCCCAAGCTGGAGTGCAGTGGTGTGCTCTTGGCTCACTGCAACCTCTGCCTCCCAGGTTCAACCAATTCCCTGCCTCAGCCTCCCGAGTAGCTGGGATTGCAGGTGCTTGCCACCACAACCAACTAATTTTTGTATTTTTAGTAGAGAGGAGGTTTCACCATCTTGGTCAGGCTGGTCTTGAACTCCTGACCTCATGATCTACGTGTCTCGGCCTCCCGAAGTGCTGGGATTACAGGCGTGATCCACCATGCCCGGCCTCCTTTTTCTTAAGATCCACTTAAGATCTAGTTAGTAGGATATTAACTTGCAAGATCTTCCCTTTCCATAGTACTGACTACTGGTAAATCTACTTTTAGATTCTCCCAAACTTCTACGTTTGTGTTTGGTAGAAAAGATACTTTAATTAAACTGGTCAAACATTTTTACTACATGGATCCAAGACTGGAACAATAGTGGCTTTAGATTTCCACATTTATGAAAGGTGACTCAGAAAGTTAGCATGCAACAGTCAAGCTAAAGGAATTTGAGAGATAATTTAGTCCAAATTCCTTAGTTGACAGAGAGGAATTGAGGTACAGGGAAGGAAAGTGATGTGCTTTGGATTAATTAGCATGTCTAATTAATAATAAAATGTCGTAGAAACTCAGGTTTTCTAGTTTGCAGAAACACTTGAAAGCTCCACTCTGCCTCCTGAAGAGCTGGACTCAGCGGGAGGGCAGCCCTTATGGGGAACAGGGAGTGGAGGGATGGCCGCCCGTTGACAGTCGAGCATTAGCAAGTGGGAGGAGATATCTGGCTTCTCCATTCCTTCTTTTTTTTCTCTTTCTGGTTTTGCTAATTTATTTAAAAATTACATTTGTTCAAGTCAAATTACCACTTGATACTCATTGTTGGATTTCTTTAGGTCATCCTGCTGCTCTCTCAGTTTCCCAGGGGTTTGTGCGTCTGCCTTCTGCTATGCATTTTCCCACGGCCTTGTTGGTTCCTTCCACAGAGGCAAATGTAAGTGCTTTTCCTTGCTTCCTGTGCTGTGTGCTGTAATCACTGTCTCTCCTATTTTTGTGGTGGTACGGACATTCTATCGACACTGAATCCGGGTACTCCCTGGAGCACTTTCTATGCTTAGCAGAGCTATTTATTTTTATTTTTATTTTTTGAGACAGTCTTGCTCTGTTGCCCAGGCTGGAGTGCAGTGGCATGATCTTAGCTCACTGCAGACTTAGGTGACCCTCCCACCTCAGTTTCCTGAGTAACTGGGACCACAGGTGAACACCACCACACATGGCCAATATTTTTAAATTTTTTGTCGAGACAGCGTCTTGCCGTGTTGCCCAGGTTAATCTTGAACTCAAGCGATCTGCCCACCTTGGCCTCTCAAATTGCTGGGATTACAAGTGTGAGCCACATTGTTATTACATTATCTACTAAGGTGGCTGTCAAACCCCTGTGGAGAGTGCCTATTTTACTGATATACTGTTCTGCTTTCATTTCACACATCACGTTCCCAAGAATAGCAGAGACAAGAGACGCCTTTTCCAAAACTCTATCAAAATGACAGAGCCTCGGCACGGCCTTCCGCACGTCCTGCAGATTCTGTGTCACACAGCTCGCGGTGGACAGTTTGCCAGCTCTTGGGCATGGCGAAAGAACGATCTTTGGAAGAGCAGGGAAGCCCAGAAGTTCACAGAAAAGAAAGCTGTCAAATTCTTCTTGCAACAGTGGTGAGTAAGAAAGGCCTTAGCTTCTTCTGAAAAGGCCGCATGTCCCCTGGGACAAGGACGAAGTGCAGTGTTGCGGGGAGACCTGTCCAGCTCAGGTGGAGAGCACACAGTGTAAGAAGCGCAAGATGCACCCCAGCAGGAATTCTGGGCTGCTTCAAGCATGCTGGGGTGTCTCCTGGTTTTTCAGGTAGTGTCAAGGAATTAGCCCCAAATCTAGAGGGCATTTAATTTACTTTGGCTTAATATGAGAGTTTTTGGGAAGAAAGGAAAAGTATCACATTTAGGCCAAACAAAAAGGTTACTAACATTTCCTTTGGAGAAACGTTGGAGTTATTAAACATTAAAAATTCAAACAAATGTGTATGGCAGTGTAGTTTTGTAAGGGGCGGAAATACTTAGTACATCTATTAATTTCTGGGGTCATTTTCATAAGTGGATGACATTTTTGTAGATGCATATGAACATATGGGTTTATATACACATACATATTCATATTATATATGTATAATATACACAGATAATACACACATCTATATACAAATAATATGAATATATTAGTATATTGTTTGTATATGTATATGTGTATATGTATACACATACAGTATATATGTAAATGTGTATTTGTTATTTATAAATGTATATATAATGCATGTATACATACATATGTATACTATGTAATACACATATAAATATATATCATATATCAACATAATATATGTGTATTATAAAGTATACAGTATGTGTATATAGTATACATATTATACATATGTATATAATATGTGTATTTTATGTATGTATAATACATAGTATATATATAAAAAATAAATGTATTTCATGTACATATATTACATAGTATACATATGTATATAAAATACATGTGTATTTCATACATGTATATTATATGGTATACATATGTATACATACATGCATTATATGCACATAATATGGAATATATGTGTATATATTTATACATGTATACATGTATATACATGTGTATATACACATACACACATGTGTTCATATGCATCTATTAAAATTTTACTCATTTATGAAGATGACCCTGGAAATTGATATACATGTTGAAACTGAGTCTTTATATATACATATATACACATACATGCACACATACACATATAAACATACATATATACACACACATATACACTAATAGATTATATTGACATTGCTGCAAATCCTTCTTTCCCCATATATGATTATATTGCAAGATCCCTCTCTCTACATATGTATATCTGTGTATATTGTGTACTTTTCTCTTTTGAATTATTTTTTTTCTTTGCCATCAGGAGATGTGGCAGGCAGGAAAGCCAAAAAAGAGAAGAAGATGGAACAGGATTGGGTGACCAAAAGATGCCCAAACATTAATGTGAAAAGAATAAATGCTTAATCATAATAATTAGGGACATATGCCCTTTCTGAATCTCATCTGTTTTAGCTTAAGGAAAGAAATTTTTAAAATAACATTTTTAAATGAAGGAAAGCCTTTTTCTTACTTTCTAGAACCAACAAAGGCAACCTTATGTTGCAAGTCATTATAGCAAAAGCATTAGGAAGGAAAGACCATTTAAAGTGAGCTCTGTCATTAATTTCCTAACTGCTCGCTTGAATCTCATAAATAATTTTAAGTAGAAAGAGTTGTCAAATGTGATTAAGGTCATTATTTCAAGTTAAAGTAGCCCACAGGCTTTCTGATAGAAAAATCTTTCTATAGAGAGATGAACTAAGGTTTCTTCAAGGTTAGGGGTCCCTGGAGCCTATTCCGTGAAGATATATTACAGTAGAGATGATCAAGTACAGAGAAGTCATCTGAGAAGATTGTACAAGGTTTCTCAAGGTGAGAGGTCTCTGAACAAGAACAGATGATATTATTTTAAGAAGATTTGCTGGGCGTTCAGTTTCCAAAATGAATTGTAATATATGTTTTTCAACCTAAAAACCTGACATCTGTGTTGGGAAAATAATAGCCTAGGCATCATTTAGTTCATTTAACAAATATTAACTGAGGCGGTACTCAGTGCGCCAGGCATACTTCTAGCTTCTTGGGACGTGATGGGAACCAAATGAAGTCCCTGCTCCCAAATAGCTCGGACTCTAGTGTGGAGACAGGCAATAAAAACAATTATAAAAGATAGCAGAGCTCCCATCCTGGCTAACATGGTGAAACCCCATCTCTGCTAAAAATACAAAAAAAGAAAAAAAAAAAAATTAGCTGGGCATGGTGGCAGGCGCCTGTAGTTCCAGCTACTCAGGAGGCTGAGGCAGGAGAATGGCGTGAACCCGGGAGGCGGAGCTTGCAGGGAGCCAAGATCACGCCACTGCACTTCGGCCTGGGCGATAGAGTGAGACTCTGTCTCAAAAAAAAAATCGAGACCATCCTGGCTAACACGGTGAAACCCCGTCTCTATTAAAAAATACAAAAAAATTAGCCGGGCGAGGTGGCGGCGCCTGTAGTCCCAGCTACTCGGGAGGCTGAGGCAGGAGAATGGCGGGAACCCGGGAGGCGGAGCTTGCAGTGAGCTGAGATCCGGCCACTGCACCCCAGCACGGGCGGCAGAGCGAGACTCCGTCTCAAAAAAAAAAAAAAAAAAAAAAAAAAGCAGAGCTCATCATCTGCAGTGAGAAACACACAAAACAGACAATGACAAAGCCCAGTGGCAAATGTTATGGACAGGGAGAGGATGGGGCATTCTCTAAGTTGGGAGGCTAAATCTGTATTAGTCAGGGTTCTCTAGAGGGACAGAACTTATAGGACATATGAATATATGAAAGGGAGTTTCTTTTTTTGTTGTTTTTTTTTTTGAGACGGAGTCTCGCTCTGTCACCCAGGCTGGAGTGCAGTGGCCAGATCTCAGCTCACTGCAAGCTCCGCCTCCCGGGTTCACGCCATTCTCCTGCCTCAGCCTCCTGAGTAGCTGGGACTATAGGTGCCCGCCACCTCGCCCGACTAGTTTTTTGTATTTTTTAGTAGAGACGGGGTTTCACCGTGTTAGCCAGGATGGTCTCGATCTCCTGATCTCGTGATCCACCCGTCTCGGCCTCCCAAAGTGCTGGGATTACAGGCGTGAGCCACCGCGCCTGGCCGAAAGGGAGTTTCTTAAGGAGAATTGACTCACACGATCACAAGGTGAAGTCCCCCAATAAGTCATTTGCAAGCTGAGGAGCAAGGAAGCCAGTAGTGGCTCAGTCTCAGTTCCAAAACCTCAAAAGTAGGAAAATGGACAGTGCAGCTTTCAATCTGTGGCCAAAGGCCTGAGAGCCCCTGGCAAGCCACGGGTGTGAGTCCAAGAGTCCAAAAGCTGAATAACCTGGAGACCGGTGCACAAGGGCAGGAAGCATCCAGCACGGAAGAAAGATGAAGGCCGGAAGACTCAACAAGTCAGGTTCTTCCACCTCCTTTCCACTTGCTTTTGCTAGCTGCACTGGCAGCTGATTGGATAGTGCCCTGCCTCTACCAGTGGGAGAGGCAACACCCAGAAACACCCAGATACACTCAGAAACAGTACTTTGCATCCATCAATTCAGTCAAGTTGACACTTAATATTAACCTTCACAAAAGCCTGTCTTCCTCAAACAAGTGATATTTAGCTGAGACCTGAAGGATAAGCAGGGGTTGGCACAGCCCAGGTAGGTGAGGGATTGGGGTGAGGTAAAGAAAGGGTGTTTGCAGCAGAGTGGCCAGCATTGCAAAACCCCAGAGGTGAGAAGGCCCAGGTGAGAAGGAGCAAGTTGTGTCTTAGGAAATGGTTGTGTGGCTGCAAAAGGAATTGAGGAGAAATGGTAGAAGATTGGCTTGGAAAGGCATGCAGAGGCCTGGTCATGCTGAATCTTGAAAGCTGTCATCAGAAATCTGAAATTTTGTTTTAAGGGCAATGGGCAGCCACTTTTAAGTTTCTAGTAGGGAAGTGACATGAACAAGTTTTGTTTAATAAAATCCTTTTGAGGGTAGTGTGAAGGCCAGATTGGAAGTGGAGCAGAGTCATAGACAGAAAGCCCCTCAGCAGACTGCATTGGCCAGCCGGGAAACAGACGAGGGCGTGGCTGCTACTAGTGGGTGGCAGTGAGGACTATAAGGAGAGGTAACACCGACGATGTGCCAAGTACTCTTCTAAGTGCTTTCTTTCTTTTTTCTTTCTCTTTTTTTTTTTTTTTTGGACAGAGTTTTGCTCTTATTGCCCAGGCTGGAGTGCAATGCACGATCTCAGCTCACTGCAACCTCCTTCTCCTGGGTTCAAGTGATTCTTCTGTCTCAACTTCCCGAGTAGCTGGGATTACAGGTGCCCGCCACCATGCCTGGCTGATTTTTGTGTTTTTAGTAGAGACAGGGTTTCACCATGTTAGCCAGGCTGGTCTTGAACTCCTGACCTCAGGTGATCCACCTGCCTTGACCTCCCAAAGTGCTGGGATTACAGGCAGGAGCCACTGTGCCTGGCTTTCTTCTAAGTACTTTCTATGCACAAGCTCAGTAAGTCCTCATAGCATCCACACGAGGAAGGCTCTGTTATCACCATGTGCATCTTACAAATGGAGAAAAAAAGAGAGGCTAAGTTGCTTGCATTGCCAAGTAAGTAGATCTGGGATTTGTTTGTTTGTCTGTTTTTGAGCAGGGTCTCACTCTGTTGCCCAAGCTGGAGTGCAGTGGCACGAACATGGCTCACTGCAGCCTCAACCTCCTGGGCTCAAATGATCCTCCTACCTCAGCCTCTTGAGTAGCTGGGACTACAGGTACGTGCCACCATGGCAAGCTAATTTAGGTCTCGCTATGTTGCCCGGGCTGGTCTTGACCTTCTGAGCTCAAGCAGTCCTCCCACCTTGGCCTCCCAAAGTATTGAGGTTATAGGCGTGAGCCACTGTGCCTGGTCAGATCTGGTCAGATTTGAAGCCCCGTTGTCTAACTGCAAGTTTAACCATTTCCCTACAGTTTTCTCTCTGGGGTAGGCTGATTTGAGGAAGATCTAGAGTTGACTTGAGAGCGTCCAGTGATT